CAAACTTTCTCTTATTACAAAAACAAAAAATATTTCTGAAAAACATTTGAGGCGAGAAATAAGTTATGCAATTGCTGACTTGGTAATCATCTTTGTTTAACGACAGCTAGTTTAGAGGTTTTACTAAAGTCTTGAGAGGGACCTCAACTGGATGCACCTTATTTGTACCAGAATGCAATGCGGGCGTTTCACATATACAGTGAATGGGAGGTTAAAGTGAGGGATAATATGGACACCTACCATCAGCTTCTCTGGAGGATTGCCTACTTCCCACATCAACGCTGTCTTTTTTTGTTTGTTTTGTTTTGTTTGTTTCTCAAGTGGGCGGAGCTACAGGTGGCATGGTGACGTCATGCCCTGGTGCACGAGGAGGCAGGGAGGATTATTGTGGTTTATCACGTGATGTAAACTCCGCTAGTTTGTCTGAAATTGAAATAGTTTTAATTTTGTTGTCAGTGCGGTGGCAGGTGAAGGAAGCCTTTTTTTTTCTTGGTGCTTCCAGGTGGAGGTGGAGCGACGCCGATCTTCTCGTCTCCCGGGTCGAGATGTGGATTAACGAGGCTGATGGACGTGGAGGAGATCTGGAGCCGAGCTGGACGTCCTGAGGACTGATGGATGGGTGGTCGGCGGTAAGTCAGAGTTTTGTACAACGTTCAGACTGGCAGTGTGGCTGAGCGTGTGTTGATGTGTGCACCTGAAACCAGAAGAAACACGTGGGAAGGGCAGAGAGGCGTTTAAAGACATATGACAGGAAGGGGAGTGACTGAGGTGTGCTCCTCACGTTTATTCATAACCTTCCATTAAAGAAAAGGCAAAATTCACAACAGCCACTCAAATAACAAGAAACTGAAAACAATAATAATAAATAAAAATTTGCAAAATTATAATTTAGTGAAATAAGACATTGCTTTAGAATTGTACTTAAAAATAATAATAATAAAAAAAATGTCCTGGACAAATTAGAGCACTTTGCTGATGAGCAGTGGGCCAGAATACCTGTCAACAGAAATCTGACTGAGAGTTACAGAAAACACCTGATTGCAGTGATCAAAAGGGTTGTTGAATAAAATATTAGTTTATGGGTCCCATCATGCTTGTTTTTTTTTTTTTTAAATATATATTTCTGTTGAAGCACAATTCAAAGCAATGTCATGATTTTCATTACATTTTTATTTATTATTACTTTTGTCAATTTCAACTTATTTCAGTGACAGCTGTTTTTTTCCTTCTTTAATATGAATAAATTTGAGGGCGACTGTATGCTAAAAATTTTTTTTGTATGCATTAGTACAACTGAATTTCCCTCTGGGGATTAATAAAGTCATTCTAAGTCTACACAGAAAAAAACTTGAATCGTTGGTAACATAGAATTTGCTAAAGTTTATCCAAAGTTTATCTAAATTAAGTTAACAAGCAATCTGTAGTGGGTTTAAGTTACATGTACTTACATCATTTGGTTTCTCTTAAGTGAACAGTTTGCATTGCTGCAGCTTAATTCTAAGGAAAGTCCATCCATCCATCCATCCATCCACCCATACATTTTCTTCCGCTTATCCGGGGTCGGGTCATGGGGGCAGTAGGTGGAGCAGGTCATTCCAGACTTCCCTCCCCCTGGCGATGCTTTCCAACACTTCTTGGGGGATCCTGAGGCATTCCCAGGCCAGCCGACAGATATAATCCCTCCAGCGGGTTCTGGGTCTGCCCCGGGGTCTCCTCCAAGGAAGACCTCCAGAGGAAGCCTCTCCGGAGGCATCCGAATCAGATGTCCAAACCACCTCAACTGGCTCCTATGACGCAAAGGAGCAGCGGCTCTACTCCGAGCTCCCTCCGGATGTCTGAGCTCCTCAGCCTATCTCTAAGGCTGAGCCCAGCCACCCTGTGGAGGAAGCTCATTTTGTATTCGCGGATACAAAGAAAGTCAAAAATATTAAGCATGATATTGTCTTTATATAGAATATACTCTATA